AAACTTTTATAACTCTCTTTCTTTCTGGGGTGTGCGATAGACTTACCTCCACGTGGTGCAACGTATACCTATACGGCAAAAAAAGTCTATTGATCGGCAATTAACTTCTGACTTCAAATTTCTATGGCCTGACTATTTGTCATATTCGACCCCTTCCACAGTACTTATCATACCTTTTTTATGCCTTTGTGTCTGTCTGTCTGTCTCTTTTACCTCTTTGAATCATTATTCTGTCTCCCATCTCGACTTTTTGTCACTTTGATGTCCCTTCTCTCCGTGAAGCCCCGAAGTCAGCTCCAGGGCTAATGATAACTATCAATACGCCTGCCATTTGATATAAATAAATAAATAAATAAATAACTCTCTTTCTCTCTCTCTCACTGTGCATGGGAAAGCGTGTTACGCCACTCGCCTTATTTGAGGGACTCAGAATACTGCCACCGTCTACTTGTTGTATTTAAGTTGGAAAGCCCTATTCCTTGACACACGAAGAATAATATAGACTTCAGAAGAACATCATAGTACTTGCATCTATTTGTCATTATCAAAGGAGGTTCCACCTCTGTCAACGTTTTAAACGTCCATCTATCAGGAGGAGGAGGATTTAAGAATTTCGTGACAATTAACTGAGACAATTTTCAATTGCTAAATTGTAACTTCTCAAATGAACTTTCAAAATTAATGATCATGCGGACAAAAGTTCATTAATAACTAAGTACTCGCTTGAAACCTTAGAAATAACAAAAAAACGCACACTTGTTTGACCAACTTATTGCCTTCACTATTTTACTGGATAGTACTAGAAGTATCTGCAATAATGCGTCTGGGCGCAAACAGCAAACAGCAATTTCCAGCGACAAATTTACGCGTGCCTTAAGTCGTGAACAGAGGCTAGGACTTTTCAAACACCATCAATTGGAAAGCCACCTCCAAAAATGTTTGTCAACACATTCTATGTGAGTTTGTGAGGTGTGCGATAGACTTACCTCCACGTGGTGCACCCTGGGCAACGTATACACATACAGCAGAAAAGTCTATTAACCGACGGTTGACTTCTGACTTCAAACTACCATCACCCCGCTGTATGTCATATTCGACTCCTTCCACAGTACTCATCCTACCTTTTTCTCTACCTTTGTGTCTGTCTGCCTCTTTTACCTCTCAACTTTCTTCTACTTTGATGAACCTTCCCTCTGTGAAGCCCGAAGTCAGCTAAATGGCTAATGATAGCTATCAAAACGCCTGCCATTTGAAATAAATAAATGTGAGTTTGTCAATAGAATTTTAAAAGTATCCTTTATTTGCCCCCCCCCTCCTCCTCCTTAGCTTAGAAGCGAAAATAAAAAATAACGAATTCCCTAGACTAAATCCCCCCCCCCACCCCACCCCATCCCCAACCTTACTTCCAACCAAAACTGTTTCATCACTGTGGTCGTTATGACTACGCTTGTCCTAATAAAATGGGCTTTAAACTACCTTTATAATTCAATTCTTGTGTTTATGATAATCAGAGCAATAATGCGCCATATATAGAGGGGGTACAAAAAAAATGAACCATGCCATTAGATAAATCTGCTCTTAGGATCTAGGCAATTCGTCATTATTCACAAATCAATGCTTGCAAAGTTATTGACTGCGGACAAAGACATGCATAAAAAGTCGGGTATATCCCAATTGCAAGTTTGAATGGAAAACTAAATTCACCTGGATTTAAATCTCAAACAATAGCAATGTCTTTCGTCTATCGGCTTAAGGAATGAAAACACCTTCTATTTTATTGCAAAACAATTGTTTCAACACACACACACAGTGTTTATCCTTACCTGTAGGATAGGAGTAGGGTAGTGATTTTTGCATTTGATGGGAAGTAATCCACAGTGTGAAGCCAGAAGCCAAGTCGACAGCGCTATCCATCAGCGAGGAAATTACAGAAAGGGAATGCGAGAGAATTGATGCAACCAATTTGCTTATAAGAAGGGCCTAAAAAATGAGCAGAAGATGGTAGTACGTATACCACAAGAAAAGGGTGAGATGATGCAGGTCATAATTAAGCGGCTTTGTTAATTGGCACGTCATACGCTAGGCTCGATGCTGCAACTACGTGGGTATCAATCGTCAAATTATTAATTACTCAACGGCCTCTTAGTGTGTGCTCCGAAAATTCCTGTATCTCCCTATGATATTCTTGGAGTTCTGGCTGTGCTACGAAGATAAACATCTGTTCTAATTTGCTTGAGTCACTTATTATATCCCATTATTTAAGTGCTATGTCGGCGAGGGTAAAAAAGACGTACTTACGAGATTAAGGAAGAATGTGGCCTTGATAAGCACATCGTTGATACGCTGTTGGCGTTGGGCAGCTCGATTTCTACCTTCCACGACTTCATCATCATCCCCCAAGAGTGAGACCGTCGATTGCAAGGATTCAATTAACTTGTCTTGCATCTTGTAAAATTTCCTTCAAGAAGATGAAATGAGCTATAGAGACGTCAAGAATTTGGAATACATACATGCTCTGCAATGTTAGAATCGCGCAGAAAGCAGATATGGGAAAAATGAATCACAGTGGCAAGACCGCCTCGCCAATAAGTACTGGCAGTCGTGGTCAGGCATTCTTTCCTACATTTCAAGTGAAGAAACAAGAAACTTGAAACGTGAAGTAGTCATTAAGTAAACATTCAACAACCGTATCCAAAAATCAGGTAAAGTGTAGGACTTTTTGATACACTTGACATGGTTCTCAGCACTTTGCCTATCCCACCCCCCCCCCTTCCAAAGTTAGTATGCATTTCAGGTGTCTTGTTCCACAAAGAGAAATTACAAAATGCATGCTTTGTAGAGGGCGGGGGGGGGGGACATAATATTCTATCTCCTTGCTGCCTTGTTTTCAACTAATTCGATCTTCGAGAAGTAGGCGCTTTCATTGAAAAAATACACGCAAGAGCAAAAAACTCATTTTTAGCCAAAAAAAAACATTTAACATAAACTCAGGTTTCTTGGCAGGCGTCGCACCCTTAAAATGAGCCTCAACATGATAAGAAAACAAAATCATTATATACTGTTTGTAGAGCAATCAAGGATGAAATTTTGCGAATACTCAAATATCGCATCTTAAAGACTATCACTCATACAAAAATGTTCCCAACAATACAATACCTGAAGTTGAGAAAGAATAAAAATTAATGACCTCGGTATGATTTCATTAGAAAGTACTTTGTTTAGGCAGAAATTGATAAAAGATCGGCAAATTTCCTCAGACAAACCTCAGCCCTTCAATTGCTAGAGTATACTCCACCTGGGCTTACCAATTGCAAAATTAAAATGGTAATATTCAACTAAAGGGAATAAAATTAGGTGCTGGTCAAGAATTGGTGATATCTGTGCAGTTGTTTCCAATTCGCACTCGATAAACGGGTTCTCTGTCAAATACGTAATATTCAAGCCATGATCTTTCTCATTTAGGGGCGTTAGACAGATTTTCTTGCACGTGGTGCATCCTGAGCAACGTATACTCATACGGCAAAAAGGTCTATAAACCGGCAGTTGACTTCTCACTTCAAACTACCACCACCCCCCCCCCCCCCCCCCCCACTCCCACAATACTCACCTTACATTTTCTCTGCCTTTGTGTCTGTCTATTTTACATCTGTCAATCACTCTTCTGTTCCCCCCCCCACCCCCCGCCCTCCTTAGAATTTTCATCACTTTGATATTCCTCACCCCCTCTGTGAAACCCGAAGTCAACAAAAGGGCTAATGATAATTATCAAAAACGTCTGCCATTTGATATAAATCTATCTCATTTACTAGCATGGAACCCAGAGAAGCAAGCATTCACAGGAGATTCAATGATCAGAACTTAATGACAAATCGTAAGTGGTCACTAATATATATATATCGCATTGAGCTCAATCGGAGAGGAAGAAAGGAAAGGAAGTGCATAAAGCTCAAAGAATGTGCTGTAGACTTTCTTCTTTAGCTACCAACTTCAGCACTTACTTGCCATTAAGAGGAAAGTAGAGTCGTGAAACCTTGCGACAGTGGAATAAATTGCAAACATACATTGACAATACTCCCTTTCTCTTCTCATCGCAAACTAATCGACGAAATTACTCAGCATTTTGGACGCTGCGCAAAAAATATGACACTCTTAATCAATTTTAATCGCGGTGTTGCCATAGTTTTTACTCCACTTGATGCCAATCATCTTCCACCAAGGTGTATGTCATCACGTGACTTACCAATGCGCAAAAACCGTCGTCTTTTTCGGCGCTCAGAAGAAGAAGAAGAAGGAGAAAAAAAATCAAGCTCTCTTGGAAAATATTTACTGGGATGGGCAAAAGTACACAAGACCATGAATTTTTGCAGGCAATTTAAACTGTGATTGCACAACGATTGTGCTATAGCCCAGAGAAAGGCAGAAATTATGGTGGAGGGTTTCTAATGAGATGCTAATTTGTAGAGTCAGCGAAATACCTTCACCGACAAATGGAAATGCGCATGAATTTCATTGAGAACAAAAAAAAGAGAGAGTGCGTTTTTAGGACTGAGGAAGGAGAACGCCCAAAAATCCTCCCAATATGCATAATCATTTGCTTTCCAATGGCCTTCAATTTCGAATAGATATGGTGAGAGTTGAACACGTTGACATACCTAACTTTTGATGGAAGCTTGCGATCCTCGGGATTCTCTCCGTGGTACTTCGCTTCAAAAACCGAGATGGGATGTGTCCTCCATTGTTCATCTAAAATGATGTCAAGGCGAAGATATACTTCTGCTTACACTAACTTGCAACTTCAAAAAGTGTGACTTTTTCCACTGCTTGTCAATCTTGCTAGGTAGGAAAGCAAATCTCTAGTCAATACAATTTACAACTAATTCTCAACTCTACACAACGAAATCTCCTAATTTTCTCTTCCTTTCAAAAAAAAAGAGTAAAACAATGCTGTAGAGGTCTAGCCTTCTTTCATAACTTCTCAGGTGGTCTTTATTGAGGATGCACACACCTAGTAAGACGCAAGGCAGAGTGAATAAACTTGGATTGTAGCTCAACTAATGTTCTTAATTGCACAGAAATTAGCTCATATTGACTTGAATTAGTTGATAAGTGATTGCCTTCATGGGGTTAGCCGACACTTCTAGCGACAACTCCCTGCAGATGGATTTAAGCAAAGTATTGATAATCCATCGCACCTTTACTCGGAATTCCCCCCTTATTGAAGAGTTATCAAAAATTAGTTAGCCAAAACAGCATTAAATCACAACAGAGCATAACAAGGATCACGAACTCGATATTCATAGTGATCGTAATGGCTAATCACAAAATATAAGTGATTGGATACAAGCTACCCGAACAATGATTGCGAGGAAAAAGTGGTCACTGGGCATGTCTGTTAAGTCAGAGGTTAGGAGAATGTTAGTTCCTCTACCGAGTAGCTCGAGAGTACCTTCTATCCACTCAAGTCGAGTAATTTTAACATTTCTTTACAGAACATGACATTTTTTCATCAAAGAGCAAAAGGGTGACAATACCCTCTCTTTGCAAAACAGCATCAAATAAGTAGCAATAACCTCAGACGCACGTCAGAGTAAGCTTCAAGAACATTTCAGTGGCTTAGCAAAGTACAACTGCTAAACATCAAAGAAAAATTAAATAATAGGAAGAAGGAAGCTCTACCCCATTTTGCGTCCAAATAGAGCTTTGATATAATGCCTTCTAGGAGACTAGCAGAATATTCCAAGGTTTTTTCAGAGTCAAACGCGACCTTTCCATTAAAATATTTTAATTGTGCTCAAAAAAAATTTCATGAGCTATGACTAATAATTAAATTCCTGATTAAATGTCCTCATGAGAGCATACATTTACGTACCTGTAGTTGACATTTTCCATCTATATCAGCTGTCTTGTAAAATTAGGAGAGGGACAAACCTAATTCAATAAGTATTTTAGAGGAAAAGCCGCATGTCTAGGGTTCAGAAATATTGCCAGACATGCGAAAAGTAATTCTCTATTCCGATCTCAAAAAATCTTTTAGCGTAAAATGAGCGTCAATGAAAATAGCTAGCAATACAAGAATGGCACTGCTGAAGGAAGTATTGTTAAATTCCACATGTAAGGTGATGCAAATATATATATATATATATATATATATATATATATATATATTCCGTTATATATATATATATATATATATATATATATATATATATAACGGAATAAAGAGTTTACTAAGAAATATAGATTCAGGTAGTCGGAGAGGTCAACTAATGAATCCAACTATTTAAAATATCTATAATTTTGATAATTGAATGAAAAGGATAAATTTAACTTTTTGCTGTGCTGACTGAACAAGCATCCATTGGCGGAAAAATTTGACGGCTTTTTGCCAAAATGTCAACTACTACCGTTTTTGCGATCAAGCAATTTTTGAGAGATAAGCATCAACCACTTTGTAAGAGGGTTTCATTTATCAGGTAACAAAAATCCGTACCTATAAGTGCAAATGTTAACTAATATGACAATTGAAAATACGATATGAGTGGCAATGCTACGATTTTAGAACGTAATCTGGCAATTAAAGCGTCCAAGTTCATAGTAAATGCATAGAAGAATTCATTCTGGATTTTTTCAACAAATTTTAAAAGCTTGGTAATGGAATAAAAACCAAGCATATTTACAAAAGAATCTGCAATTAAATAGGATACCGAATAAATTCTTTTTATTTAAAGAATATTAAAAGCAGGAAATTATGCACATACTATGTTGGGAATTGCGCATTGAAAGGCCACTATTATTACTGGATGCAATTTTATTTTCCTCATCAGAATCGGGCTCAGTTGTCCCATTCCCAGGGTCAACCATGGGGGGAACAAAAGTTGGTGACGAAGATGTAGGTTCCTTATCTGAAAAATTAGTTAGTATGGGGTTCAAGCAAGTTTGGTATCGAACATGAATCTATCGCTACAATTTAAGGAAAATAGAATATATATTTCGTGATAAAATTTATATAATAATTCCTCATTTGTAACAAAATTAGATTGATAATTAAAATCGTAAGCAAAATATGGACAACGAGATCTACATTAATTAATTCAATGTATAAGGGACAACTAATGATGAGTATGATAATAAATGAAAACTTTCGCACGAATAACAATTTCTATAAATTGTAAGCGCGATTTCGAACTAACCCTTCCTTAAGAAGGTCATATTGGTTTGGCGGATTCAAAAGTGGATAGAAGTTCTGTTGGGATCGAATTAGTTAGATCAAACAAAATGTGGTTACAACTTGTTATAGTTAGATAGAATAAATTAAAATTAGATGGATAAACGTTGTTTAATAATATATATTGATTAATATAGGAAAAAGTCTATCAATGGGCAGTTGACTTCTGACTTCAAACTGCCATGACTCCACTATATGTCATATTTGACTACTCTCACAGTACTCGCCTCACACTTTTTCTACCTTTACTACCCTCGTCTTTAAAACACTCTTCTGTCCCACCCCCTCTCTCGACTTTTTCACTTTGATATTACTTCCTCTATGCGAAGCCTGAAGTCAAATAAAGGGCTAAAGATAGCCATCAAGACCCCTGACATTTGATATAAATAAATAAAAATTAAGCAATTAAGCGGCTATTAAATAAGGCAAACAATCTCCTAAAAAATTAAGGCTTAATGAGGCTTTTGGGAATAATTCCAACAAGCGTTGTTGAAAAGTTAATAACGTTATGCGTTGGAACCAATCTACTTTTGCCATTACCAGTTATGGGTTATTTGATTCCCCACTGTCTTTCTATTTTGATATCATTTTAAATCTCTAATCATTTGAATATCTAGAAACTTTTTTGTCAGAAACATAGAAAATAACCCCACTTATAATTCATGTCGACTAATAGTAAAGAAACTTCCCACATTTGTTGGACTTTAATGCATCTGAAAGCACTGTAGGTAAGACTATTCATATTTTGAAGATCAAGGGGTGTGCGATAGACTTACCTCCACGTGATGCACCCTGAGCAACGTATACTCATACGACAAAAAAGTCTATTATCCGGCAGTTGATTTCTGACTTCAAACTACCATCACCCCACTGTATGTCTCCTCTATATCTGTGAATCACTCTTCTGTTCTCAGTCCTGAATTGTTCTCACTTTGATTTTTCTCCCCCTGCGAAGCCTGAAGTCAACTAAATAGCTAATGATAAATATTCAGAACGCCTGCCATTTAAAATAATAATAATTTTGATGAGCAAAATTTAGAGTAGCCAGATTAAATCCGCCTGTATCAAAAGAATTTATCATACAAATACAATGAAATTATGTGCTCAATAATAATTATAATTAGAATGCGTAAAATTATGCGTCGATTAAATTTTCAAAATATTTCATAAAATTGTGAGATTGTTCGGATTATAGCAATTAGTTGACAAGTATTTTCATTACAATTTTATAGGCGAGGCTTCATTTACCATTAATTATCGCAATACGCCGCAAAAAACTTTCTTACAATTTTTAATCTTCTGTTTTTAAATATCCTCATTCCATGCCGCGTCATGTGAATTACAACAGGTGTGGGAATTTTATTATTATTTGCATAGTAATAGTTTTAATCTTCAAATTCGTTCTTATAACATTACATTTTTTTGCCGTATTTGTCATTTTATTAACCCTTATCGCATATATTACATTTATTTGTTTTTTTACTTTGTTTACCAGTCAGCTGATCTCTTGAATTACTTTATATTTAATTCTTTTACTTATTATTCAACCAGCTGGTTAACATTCTATTTTAAACCCGATGTATTTCATTAGCGTTTGATTTTATTATGCATAAGCTGAAGTCTGTGATGTTATTACTTCCTCTCATTCAAAAATTGACGAGGACATGGATTTTTCTCTCCTCTTTAGTTTAGAATGACTAAAAACCCGTCCCATCGTAGAACTAGATCTCGTCTACCGTCCGTATCATCATTGTCTTCTATAAATTCTAGTGATAATTGTAGTTCCTCCTCTGGTACATCTAATGACGTGTCCGAATCTACTTCTGAATTCACTGATCAGCTTTATCCCCTTGGTTTACGGGTTCGTTCTATTTCCCCAGATGGAAATTGTCTTTTTTCAACCTTTGCTGATCAACTCTATGGTAAGCCCCACTATCATCCTCGACTTCGTAAACGGGCTGTCGAATATCTCAGCAAACATAAACGCGAAATCAGACCATTTTTAGGCAACACATCCTATAGTGCTATGCTTGACGAATTGGCTGAGTCTGGTACATATGGTGATCATCTCTCAATCGTTGCTCTAGCTCGAGTCAATCACGTCGATGTAATCGTCCACAGAATTGGTGAACAACCCCGCCTAGTTGCTCAAGGTTGTTCTGATCCACAGTCCTGTTCTCTCACTACTCACCGTCAGGTTCATCTCGCTCTAGATTCCGAGCATTATTCAAGTGTAAGATCTATTGATGGTCCCACACATGGCCCTGCCAATATCCTTCTTGATCTTAGAACGCTGGAGAAAAATGCTGCCAAGTCGCACCGTCGACACCGTCATCGCAGTGAATGTACTCACAATGGCAATTACCGTCGTCACCATCACAAACACCGTCACCGTAGCTCAAGTGGCCAAAAATAATTGCTCAAATATCCTCTCTTGTCTTTCATTTGTGTCTTACTTCTGATTGGAACGTTACATTTATTTTGCTTTTGAATTCCCTCCCTCAGCCTATTTTATTTTTACACAATAAAGCTGCTTTTTCGGTCCTCTCGTATTTTCTTTACAAATCTATTTTTTTGAAAATCTTTGATTTGAGGGATTTGTTTTTTCGCAGCAAAATGGGCAACGAAGCGTGCACAATGTCCCTGCCTCAAGTAGCGAGGTGTGAGGATTGTTTACGAGACCTTCAAGCTAATGTCTATTTTGAAGAAGAATTACGCGGTTCAAGGTCTTTTAAGGTTGTTAAAGTGAGGTATGCCAAATTTGTTTTGTCCTTTTTAGCCTAATTTCCCACTAGATGTGATAAGGTAATCAATCGACCTCGGAAACTGATAAAAATATACCAAATTTACAAGGCAGATGATTCTATTGAGCTGGCGAGGAATTCCCTCTCTCCGTTCTCTGGAAAAGCTGAGGGTGGATTCAATCTACTACCGGTGGAAACGTGAGTTCTTTTTTTGTATCTGAATTGGAAAGCAGTTGCTTCCTAAGCCTGTCTTCTTAACTCATAATTGATTTTGGATTTGATACTTCTTGGAGGTAATAAAGGTTAAAAATTTACTTGGCTTTCTGTTATTGGATCTCTATCTATTCCAGAAGCTATGATTTCTATCTCCCAATCTTCACTGCCACAACAGGAGGAAAAGGAGACGGCTCTTGATAGCTAGATTTGCTAATGTCAATTTTAAGAGAGAGCCTTGTATTGGTGCACTTCAAGTAAACCTGGTTACGATGTCTTGAGAATATGGGGAAGTTTCAAGTGTCATATCGAATAGTAAGCTTGGAGCCAATGCACGACGCAAAAATTCAACTCTATAAAAGTGTCATTAAACAAACCACTGCTTCTCTTAATGCATTCTAGATCTACTCTTTGAGGAATTGACTTTCTGTCACTAATTTTATTGATCAGATATAACTTCTGCGGCTGGCCATCCACAACATTGGTTGTACGTCGATGAGCCTTCATCTCGTCGACATTAGAGTGAATTAGATTTTAATTTTATTTAATCAGAAAGGCCATACGTCATTAATTCCATTAATTTTGCTCATTTGCTGACAACCCTTTCTGTTTACGTTAACTTTATAGATTTATGACGGAGAAGTATGCCTTTATTAGTCGAGATTTCGTTGACCAATCCTTGGCGGACAGAATTGGAACTCGACCCTTTCTCACTTTTGATGAAAAACGTTGGATTGCTTTTCAACTCCTCTCCGCCGTTCAACAGCTGCACTCAATGAAAACAAATGATCTCAGGGTAAGTTCTTGAAAGGACTGTCTTTTGCATTCCAACTGGTGTATTTGAGAAATAACTCCATATTTGATAAATCAAATAAAATTATTGATAACACTGGAGATTTACTTTGCAATTTGTCTGTTGTTTCTTAAGTCACCTTAGACTCTCGGAGAACCAGTGGCATCGGTATTAAGTTCATCTTCTTGTCAGGAAAGATCGCCTAATGAAACCGATTTGAAAAGTTGTAATAAATTAGCTCCGTTTGCTCTACACGTGGTTTTAACCCTCCCCCCCCCCCCCCCCCCCCCCACCCCTCCTACCCACCTTTTTTGGATTTTTGAATGAAATCTTATATTCTACGATTTTTAACATCCCATGTTTACTTTACCATGCTCTATCTTCTTTTCTGATTGGCGCTTTCATCTGGTCTAGAGCAAAGGGGGGAAACAAATCCAACAAATTGCCCTTTTTTTAATTTATAGGAACAGTTTTAATTTTGTTAAATACCTCCATTTTTATTATTTAAGTCCCCTCGTCAGAATCTACCTCGTAGTACAGCCAAAAAGTGCAATTTAAGAGCGATAATCCCGCTTTAAGAAGTTATGCTCCATTTGAATTTCGGGTTCTCTTTATTGCTTTATTGAATTTATACCCCATTGTTGACTTCTACGTTTTTAAATGGAAGTTCAGATCGTACTGCCAAGTTGAGTCATCATTTCGCATTATCTCGCAATATTTGCCCTGTCTAATAGCCAAGGCGCTCTTAAACGTAGCATAGGCCACTCTCAATGATGAAGTCTGCATTCAAGTTGTCCCCTCATAGACAAGGTTGCTCATTTTAAGGTTGTGGTTCACTTTGAGTATTTAATCGATCCTCAATCCAATAATATGGGGGCGGGGGTTGTTCTACTTATAGAATTTTCTCGGTAAAAGTGACCCAATGTGAATATAGAAAGGTACTGCTAATATAGTATTTTGTATTCACAATTAATAAAAGAAAAAAATATTGCGAATAGGAAAATGCTGTGCATTTAGTAGATCACAACAAAGGTGGAAAGTGTTCTCCCTGAAAAATTAGAAAGGTGTCTAATCCTTCTTCTTATTTTCTGTTATTTTCTCATCTCAATTTAGACCCATTTATGCCCTTAATTTACAATTAGTGCCTTAGTACTATGAGCATGAGAGAGTTAGCCAATGGGAGGTCTAATCGCGCTAGTCAACTACTGCGCTTACTAATCTAAAGAAATTATTGCTGTCTCTTTACGAAGCACCTTTCAAAGTAGGTTAGTGTTTAGCCCTGCTTCTGAGAGCATGGAATCGTCTCAATAGATCATGTGTGCTTCTCAACATATATTCTCACACTCGGGGTGTGCGATAGACTTACCTCCACGTGGTGCACCCTGGGCAACGTATACTCATACGACAAAAAAGTCAATTAACCGGCAGTTGACTTCTCACTTCAAATTACCATCACCCCACTGTATGTCATATTCGACATCTTTCACAGTACTCACCTCACCTTTTTCCTACCTTTTCTAACTTCGTCTTTGAAACTCTTCTGTTCCTCCCCCCCCCCCCCCCCCACCGCTTTCGACTTTTTTTCACTTTGATGTTCCTCCTCCTCCTCTCTGTGAAGCCTGAAGTCAACTAAAGGGCTGATGGTAACCATCAAAACGCCTGCCATTTGATATAAATAAATATTCTCACACTCTCTGATACCCTGCAATTTGATTTTGATAATCGAGCTCTTTTTTATTTCAACAAATCTTAGATAGTTTTAAACTGAATGCGCCAAGTATAGAATTTTGTGAGCTCTTTTTCTTCCGATGTCATGATTTGTGTGCTACTCGATTACTAAGATATAAGGGATTAAGTCAATGAAATATATGCTTTTTATTGACCCCCCCCCATTTTACTTTATAATAACTTGTCAAATGAATTAACAATTGTACCATATATTTCCTCTATCTTTTTTAGCCTCTCTGTCACGGTGATATCAAACCACAGAACGTTCTGCTAACCTCCTGGGGCTGGATCCTCTTGACTGACCCTGCTCCCTTCAAGCCGACACAACTGCCGTCAGACAACCCAAGTGTATTCACCCACATTTTTGATAGCTCACGACATCGATTCTGTTACCTGGCGCCTGAACGCTTCATGGATCCACGACATACGCATATTGGGGCATCAGGAAGTGGCGCTGGAGGAGATTATGATTGTGGTGGAGGTGAGGGTGGGGGTGCTGATGGATACAGCTCTGTTCCTGGCAATCTCAACCTGAAAGGCGAGGCGAGTTTCTTCTATAGCCGTTTCTTGAATAGTTCTAATTTCAGTTATTTGCGCTCTTTTGCCAGCAATCCTTTTCAAGCTTTCTTTTTCTCAACCATGTATTCCTTTACACGTCAGATATGTATTTTACTTCAAATTGTAGGCGTTTTGAGATTTATCATCAGCCCTTTAGTTGACTTCGCCCTTCACACAGGGTAGGAACATCAAAGTGAGAAATATTCGAGAGAGGAACAGAAGAGTGATTAAGTGCTGTAAAAGAGACAGAAAAAGGTAAGGTGGAGTGGATATTGTGGAAGTGCTGGAATATGACATAGAATGGGGTCATGGTTGTTTGAAGCCAGAAGTCAACTGCCGATTTATAGGCTTTTTTGCGTATTACTATTCGTTGTTTAGGGTGAATTTTGTGGATTTAAGTCTATCGCGCTCCCCACATCAGATATTAAAGCTGGTGATAGTGTAAGGCATCAACTTCTCTAACTTTGCAAATTAGTTGACTACTTTTTACTTAATGAATACATCCTACAACACTATTTCACAATCTTTCCAAGTTAATAATTGTGAACTTAGTGTCTGGTTTCCTAGCGAGTTCATGCCCATTATGTTCATAGGTTATTGCCTAGTCAATAAAATAACATCGATGGTCTGTCAACTTGATATGGTCATGTCTTCTTGCAGCCATGTTCCACTAACTGATACTACCTCAGGCGATTTCAGTACAACAGGACCAATTATTGTTCTATTCCAAGCCGCTGCGTTCTAGTCGTGCCTTTTCAATGGCATTTTCCCATTCTACTTATTGTATGTTATGAGTTTACTTCCTGTATTGTGTTGTCAAAGTCTTGTCAGCTTTACTCCCCTACGGAACTTTTTTCGGTGTGGCTTCGATCCTGTGATTGATGCCACCAAATAATTATCACAGTTTGCACCCACTTCCATGTTGGATTTACTATGGGAGAGGGAGTTGACGACATGAAGATGTAATTACTTCCTTTACAGATTTAGATGTGCATCCTGCACGTGTTGGCTGTTAAAATTTCTACAAATTTGCACTTCATTTCACTCTTTGCAGCTTCCAGTTATTTATACTGGGTGTGGGGTCAATCTTTTTAATCGTAACAGGCGATAACGACTGCGGTTAAATTGCCAACATCGATTTTAATGGACTGAAATGGAGAAATGCAACACCTCCATTTGGAATGAATTACTTAACTTTTCCACGTTTCAACAATTTGAGTTGTCGTTAAAGCATCTCTATATACTTTTTTTCGTGCAGACAGTTGCTGGGGGGAGAAATTTGTATCAAATGGCAAGCTTTGTGATAGTCACCATTAGCCTTTTAACTGACTTCAGGTTTCCCAGAGGGGAGGAGGAACATCAAAGTCACAAAAAGTCGAGGGGGGGAGGGGTTGGGAGGAGAGAACAGAAGTGGAATCCACCGATGTAAAAGAAGTAGACATACACGAAGGTAGAGAAAAAGGTAGAGTGAGTACTCTGAAATATGACATACAATTTGTTCATACTAGTTTGAAGTCAACTGCCAAGTTAATAGACTTGTTTGCCGTATGAGTATACCGTTGCCCAGGACCTGTCGAACTTTAGAAATTGGCCTTTTAAATGTCGAGGAGCGAGCGCCCGAGTTTTTATTGTCGGCTTTTTTTCGTTGTCCTCGCTCAATCTCCTGCCTCCATAATTCTTAAAGATGTTTACTTGGCAATTTTTTTCATGCTGTCCCCGCCTGCCCAACTGAAATTTTGTTTTGGTTTTTCAAATTTACAAAATTTTTTCCAATTCGATGTTAGCCTATTAATGTGCATCCAAATGTACTTTCTCCCCTCCCCTCCCAACATTTCATTGGGGCACTTTTTTCCCTAAATTTGTTTTTTTTTGCTTTTAATGCTTTTTCGCTTAATTTTCTTCTTAGCTTAACGATGTGTTGTTGGATTTGGATAAATCCTCTTTAAATTTACGCTTGGAGTTTTCTCCCTAATCTCATGGGCTGAAGAGCTAAAGGTTCCCCACAAATTAACCATCGCAGCATTGTTTTTTCTTATTATTTCAAATGGCAGGCTTTATGATATTTATCATTAGCCCTTTAGTTCCGGCGCCCTGCTTCACAAAAAGGAAGAGGAACACCAAAGTGGCAAAAACTTTCCCCATGGTTGGGGTGGGGTACATATATAGCAGTTCATTAGCTGTCTTCTTGCTTCCCGGTATCTCTGCGGTTACGTCGTTGTCTTTAGGTCTGGATACCGAATCACGTGGGTCTTCTCCATTTCCTCCTGTGGGTCACATAGGGGCATGTGGGTTGAGTGTATACTCCTATTTCTATTTATTATGATTAGCTTGAAACCATCGCAGCATTGTAATATTTTCTTTAAATCACACCAGCTGGGAGTGGGTGGAGAAATTCCGACTGATGGTTGAATCATCGTATTTTTATCTCATGATATAATCTATCAAGAAATCGGTCACTTGAAGTCATTACCGTCTCTTTTTTCCGTAAATTTCAAAGCACTCTTCTCTGCCAAAATGCAATTTTCGTTTGCTATCATTTCTTGGCTTTGCATCTCCCAATTCTTGCATAAATTCTCTACCTCGAGGTTCGAAACTTTCAATTTGGCCAATTTTTCCTTTCGCTTTCATTCTAAGCCGATGATTTTGTTTATTTGGAAAGATGCCATAATTATAATTGCCTTCGGTATGGCTCTCAAAGCATCCAGGAGTAATGATTTACTTTTGCTTTTAAATGGAAGAGATCAGACTCTACTTGGTTCTATTGGAGTGATTGTCTGGGTTATTTCAAAGTGAATACATTTAGCCCAATTTAGCTCTCGAATGTGATGATTATGATGTAATCTACTATTAGGCTTCTTAACGGTACCCTTCATACAATTTTCCCCTATCGAACATAAGGCAGTTTGGATGCATGCTATAACTAACGTTATAGCGCTTATTTGACACTATTTTTTGCTGACAGTATGCTTAAATTAGTCTTTTTTCATATACAAGCATTTTAGTCCTAATACATATTTTTCCTCTTCGCAGTCTTCAGAAAACGACAATGGCGACTGTCAAGTTATTATTGGCGAGGTAGCTGACGAGAGCCTAGAATTTTCTGGTGATGAAGACGCCGTTTTTAAACAACGTAAAAACTCCTCAGCTGCTGAGGATATTCCTGTTGCAAGACATATTTCACCAAATGCCAGAAATTTATCAGGGGAAAATCAAACTCATCATCATCATTCTCGATTGACCTCTGGTTCCATGCCCAATGTGATGGATGTTTCCTTTATGTTGGATTCCAATGGTAGGCCTCTCCTACCCTCCATGGATCTATTCTCTGTGGGGTAAGTTTCAACTTGTGGAATTTCCTTACGTTTACGTAATTTTTCAACTCGAAGTTCTTCCCACTTTGCAGCTGTGTGCTTCTAGAACTTTTCACAGATGGAACAGTGCCCTTCAAACTCTCCGACATGCTCCACTACCGCCGTAATCAAAATGAAGAGATCGGCAAATTACTTGAATCCGTCTCAGACGACGATGCTCGAGTAAGTTTCCCTCCCTCCTCCCCACTTCAAGCTTTTCATCATTCTTTATTGTTATGCCAGGATTGAATGCTTTTTTGAGTGTTTTCATCAAGCGCTATTTCCTTTTAAAGAAAATTTCCTTAACATTAAAGCCAATATTAGTGTGTGCATGTGCTCGTATAAATTTTTCATGCAAGATTTATGCAATAAGCGTGATTTCTTATTTTATTTCTGTTAGAAAAATTTGTCTATTTAATTTATGTGCTTTTAAATTAAATTTAATTTAAAACAATTAAACTCCCCCATTCTGTGGAATAATTAAATCATTTAACTTAATTTCAATAGTGATAATCTTGTTTCTTTCCACTTTTTAATGGGAGTTGCTGAGTAATCAGCGGTAATTAAATTGATTCAAGGTCGAAAACTTTCTTTTTCTCCTCCTCCTCCCCCCCCCCACCCCCCTCCTCCCAGCTCTGATTGGTGTACATTCTTCCTGCTTTTCTTAGGAGTTGTTACTGAGCCGACTTTCATCTTAAAAATATGTGTGTGTGATGTTTAAGGCGATTCACTCTCATTGTGTATGGTTATCGGTTTTTTTTCGTGTTTCTGGAGGCTACTCTGAATGGAAGTCGTTCCTCGGGAGCTTAATTGTTCGCTTCCATTTTTTTTGTTTTCATAACTCATCATTTCCTCAATAGCCTGGAATTACGATGTCATTTTGGTAGGAATAAGATTTCAGGCTTTACTTGCATAGCAAGTCTTCATGAATTTCTTACCTATGGATTAGATTGTCATTTGAAGTAATTTTATGGGGCTCTTATTGGAGTTGAAATATTGAAATATTAGGTCCTACGTGTACTGAAATCGATCTATTCAGCCTGCAAGAGATTTATTTATCTCAAATGGCAGGCGTTTTGATAGTCATCATTAGCCCTTTAGCTGACTTCGGGCTTCACAAAGGGGAGGAGGAACCTCAAAGTGACAGAAAGTCAAGAGGAGGGAACAGAAGAATGATTCAAAGATGTAAAAGAGACAGACACAAAGGCAGAAAAAGGTGAGGTGAGTACTGTGGAAGTGGTGGAATATGACATACAGTGGGGCCATGATAGTTTGGCGCCAGAAGTCAACTTTCAGTTAACAGACTTTTGCCGTATGAGTATACGTGCCCAGGGTGCACCACATGGAGTTAAGTCTATTGCACACCCCACCTGCAAGAGATAGAGGCAGGGTGTGTGTTATTGATCAGTTTATTAGGTCTTTTCTAAAAATTGTGGATGTCACCATTCACTTCTTTTACGAAACCAGTTTCTTGATTTTTAGGCTAAATTAAGCAAGAGGAACAGGTTCCATTAACGTTCAACAGTGAAGTATTTGCTGTGTTCGGGTTATTATCGGTTTATGCAGATTTTTTAATCATTTCTGCTGTTACCATGGAAAAAGCTTCTTGTCTGTCATCTACCACGGTGTAGAGGCATGAAGGAGTGGACTTATTCTGAAAGTAGTGTCTCATTTTCAAGCAGTTCTTTTCCTGAAGGTCTTATTTCGAGCCTCTGACAAGCTTTGGAGATAGATAATTTAGTTTTAGCGAGGGTATTTTGTCATATTCCTGGCGATTAACTGCCTTCAGTCATTGTGTTTGTCTCTCCACCTCGTTGAATTTGTACTGAACAGGACTGGCCTCGTGATCTCTCTTACTTTTTGGTCAACCTCAGTAGTCTCTCTCTCTGCATCATCATCGCGACACCTCTTTTTTTTGCGACTGTACGGTTTTCCCATTTTCGCTAATTTCACGGCATTTTGCATACTTAGTGCATCATATAAAGTAGTATACACTAGATCCACAAATCCAAAATGTATCTCCCATTCCTTATCTACCCAACGCACAGATATGGTGTGCAGATCGCCATCCCATTGAGACACAGGATGCAGTCATGAGTTGTTGTATTTTGGGGTATGTACGAAGGCAAAATCCCTTTGTCTCTCCTAAGATGATGACCGCGGTGTGGTCGTTTATTAAATTTAACACGCAATGTCCCTCCCATAAATCTCATGCTCGTGGTTAATGCAAATAAGCTAAACTTTTAATGGTCTCTTCTCTGTGTAGTTGATCTTTTGGGCATGTTCTCTCAAAGGTCTTTAATAACTCCTGCCTCAATTCTACTGTGCTCTTTCACTCACCGTTGTCACTTCTCTCCTTTGCAGTCCCTTATCAAGAAATTGATCTCGCTAAAACCGGAGGAACGCGGCTCTGCCGCACAACATCTGGATAATTACCGAGGCAGTCTCTTTCCGAATTTCTTCTTCACTCATCTCCAACCCTTTTTCCAATCATTCCTCGATCCTACAACTGCGAATCCTGCTGTTAGGTTACGATATGTTCGACAGTAAGTTGAAATCCGGTTTTTATCCCCCCCCCCTCCTCCTCTTGATCGGGACCCCAATTGCATTGAAAGTTAAAGCAAGGGTTTATAATTACATTGTTCTCATTTCAAGGCTATTTATTTTATATTATTATGGCAGGCTTTATGATAGTCACCATTAGCCCTTTAGCTGACTTCGGGCTGCGCAATAAGTCGAAGAGGGGGGACAGAAGAGCGATTCATAGCGGTAAAAGAGGCAGTCAGACACAAAAGTAGAGAGAAAAGGTAAGGTGAGTACTGTGAATGCGATCAAATGTGACATACAGTCGGTTCATAGAACATAAATGCCATTGCTGAACATTCAGCGTGGTAGATTGGTCAATGCATTTATTTCTACTATTAGCTTATTGAACCATATTTCTGCTTAGTTCTGTAACTCCACAAACTGCAAGACCACCCAGTTTTTTAAGTTTGATCCATGTAGAATACTTACGCTGTTCCACTGTCAGGAAGGTTTGAACCAATTTTGGGAATGACAAGAGTTTAGAGGTGAAAATGGTACAACCGTCCACACTTGAAAGTCAAAATCTATTTCAGCTGGCACTCAGACGCTCTGAATTACAAATTTCATGGAAGTCATAAGTACAAAGCAGTGCCAATATCTGTTTGAATTTATGCCGAACCCACTTAATTTCAAAATTTTTTACCGACTTACGGAAAATTTTTCATAGGAGGCTATTCATCTCTTCAACTTCCATCATCTTTTGATCTAACAGATCATTTTACAATTGATTTGTGTTCTCTTCTTGCGGTTATACTAACCCTGACGCCTGCTCCCCTGAAACTCGCTTGAGGAGATAAAATCATTTGAATGCGTGCATTTTTTCTCCAAATCTGTCTTCAAATGAAAGATCACAGATCGGGGGGGGGGGGGGGGGGGGGGGGGGGGGNGGGGGGGGTGGGGAGGGGGTGGATTAACACTTCTTTTCTCTCTATTGAATGCAACTCATCAGGGTAAATCTCCATGCCAATTATCATTTGCGCGGCAATTGCTCTTAGCATGAATGAAATTAGTTCCCATTGGGCAAGGTGGATTTCTTATTCAAGGCCTGAGTTTCATTTTTATTTCTTTTCCACACAATTTAGACTGACGTTTTTGCTTACCACAAAAAACGCATATAAATCTTAATAATCTATTTTTCCATCAATCTCCTTTGTTTTATTCCCTAAATTACTAGAAGGTCATCAAAAAGTCCCTAATTATACACTTAGGTTGCCAATCAGTAATGCTTATCATGCTTTTTTTCCTACTCTTTAGAAATTTGCCAAACTTCCTCTCTGACCTTCAGGCGGAACCCACATCCGTCCGAGGGTCTGTTTCCCTTGTGCTCAATACTCTTATCACCTCCTCCCTGCACCAACTCAAATTTCATCGAACTGAGCCTGTGTGCAGTGCCTATGCCGATCGATCTCTCACTATTTTTTCATCCACTGCACCAGTAATCAGTAGCCCGATCACCGCCGCTCCACCTTCTCCTCCCCTAGCTGATCCTCATGAAGACGGGCTCATTTGTCTCCTCACTATGGTCAAAAGTCTGCCCTCATTGGCCCTCTTCAATCGCCTTTGGCCCCATCTCATTGATCTCATAGGAAACAACAACCCCAGTCATGAGTTCCGTTATTTGGCTTTGGATGCATTGGTTCAGAGCTTGGAAGACGCAGTATGCTTCATAGAAAATCTCCCCCCGGCTCATCATCATGCTCATTCTGGAAATGGAGGTCACGATGGGGATATAGACGCTGTGATTGATGATATAAGATTCTTGAATGAATTCCTTCTACCCTCGCTCTCCTCCCTTGCGAATGATGACAAGGCAGAAATGACTGTGGCTATGGCGCAGTGTTTGCCAAGGTTAATAGCTTCGTGTGAAAAGTGAGTTTAGTCGGGGGGGGGGGGGGGGAAGTTGAACTCATCGTCTATTCTTTTGTTCCTTTTTCCATTGTAGAATTCTCTGTCTGGTTTCAAAGCAAACCTATTGGAAAAGCGTGGCTCAGGAGGAAGAAAAGAAGGAGGAGGAGGAGGTGGGGGAGGGGGAAGACACAGAGAAGAAAGTTGACCAGGTAGTTGATTTCGTGTAAATAACAATATTATGGGACTTAGTTTGTTGGATATCACCGCGTGAGTAATATTTCGAAAGCAATATTTTATTGAAGTAACTTTAAGATAGTGTCCCCTTGACATTTAGGTGATAATCATCATTTATTTATTTCAAATGGCAGGCATATTGATAGTCATCATTAGCCCTTTAGCTGACTTCGGACTTCACAGAGGGGGGGGGGGGGGGGAAGAAGAGTGATTCACAGATTTAAAGTGAAAGCCAGTCACATAGGCAGAGAAAAGGTAAGATGAGTACTGTGTAAGGGGCCGAATATGACATACAGTGGAGTCATGGTTGTTTGATGTCAGAAGTCAACTGCCGGTTAATAGACTTTTTTGCCGTATGAGTATACGTTGCCCAGGATGCACCACGTGGAGGTAAGTCTATCGCGCACCCCGTGATGATCATCATCACATTCATAATTCAGCTAATGGGCTCTGTAAGAAAATATATATGAATCATCCAAAGTGAAGTGTTTCGTTAAATTGAAAAAAGGCCGAATTCTTTGTGGAGAGAGGGAGAGAGAGAGAAGAGATTTTTAGACCAGGTAAGTAAAAGAGGTGCTAGGTTAAGAAGGTCTCTAGAATTTGATGGAAGCGGAGGAAAAATCATGCGCTTCACATGACCTCGTATGGCATTTGCAAATGCTCTTTTGGTTGTTACCTCCTCGTGCCCGCTCTCTCCCTCTACTCTACGCCTCATTTTTTTGCTCTAGACTGATGCTCATCATCTCCTTTTGTTGGCCGATTCTCTACTTGAAACGGATAAAGTTCGCGATTGGCTCCAACACCAACTCGTGCCCCTCCTCTCAGACAACTGTCCGGACAATTTTGCTCGTCGCACACTCTTCCACAATCCCAAAGACTTGGCCAAGATCACCACCTTCCTTGGGCAAAAACTCACCATTGATGTCATCCTCGGTCATTTGACTACCTTCCTCAATGCCAAGGTTTTTCAATTTTTTTGTTGCAGGATTTATGTCAATTTAACATCACCTCTGATCGAGCTGTCCTCTTTTTTCTTGCATAGGATGTCAACGTGCGAGCTGCGTTCTTTGATCAGGTGCCGACACTGGTGAACCTTTGTGGTGAGCAGTCGGTATCCCTTCTGCAGCCACTTTTAGAGAGTGGTCTGGCGGATGGAAATGAGATTATCCTCTCCGCGTGTCTCCGATCACTTGTCACACTCCAACAAGATGGTCTTCTGGAGCCCCTTATTGCCATGGAATTTATTCCACGAGTCTTGAACCTTACCGCACATCCCCTAGCTCATATTCGAGAGGCAAGTTCCTTGTACCTTGTGGGTTTATAGTGTTTCTCATTTTGCTTGCAGCTACTGCACATCTCTTTGGGAAAATTATCGATTGAGTGAAGTCGGTTCTTAATTAGATAATTCCAGGAAGTTCAGTGTGGGTATATCTACTCCGAAAAAAAATAGACTTTTGTAATAGAATTGGGGCAAGAAAGTGTGCTGAATCTGGGATTGCAGTAGTGAATGTGTGTTTGATTTGATCGGCTTGAAGGGGGGGATTTTAATAGAACCTTTTTCCCCCACTCCATTTAGTGTTGTATCGCCTATGTCACTGCACTTGCTCGACCAGCTCTAAAGGACCTGACCAATCCCAAGCTCAGCCCACTTAATGACCTCACAATCGAAGCCCAATTTACTGAGAACGAGGAACCGGACGTTTTCCTTGGGTTGAGTCTCTTCTCTCAGGGTATGATGGGTCTTGCCGATCTTCATGCCACTCTTGGCACCCCTGAGATTAGGGAAACTTATTTCAAGTAAGTGATCCCTTCTCGCCTCGTCTATTTTTATAAAATACGACTGGGTTTTTTTCTCATTATGGATAACATCTCAACAAGCAGAG